TTCCAACAGTTTTTCATGCTTTTTTATCATTGTTTTGAAGACCAAAATTGACTATTTTTTTTTCTGGTCATGAGAGTTGTTCTGCTAGATATTGTTTTTGTGAGTTTTTTGTGGGGATGAAATTGAGTATAAACTGAAGAAAAAAACTTTCCGAAAAAGCGAATCTCCAGCTTTTATCTAGTTTTTTAATGTTTGAAAACCGACTGATTCATAATCAACCTCGTAAATAAATGCTTACACAAGCTTACTAAAATTATTTTGAAGACCGAACAATTATTGGTCGTTGAGTTCATTGAAACGTGTCAAAAACTGCGCATTGTCAGCCCTTTCTAATAATTCGTCTGAAAACTTTTCAGATGAGTTTTAGACGACGCAGAAATTTTTTCCTTGGCGCGTTTGACTTATTTTGAGTAGTTATTGAAGGTTTTAGCGTAGGATTACCACAATTTTTGTTTTTGGGCCTAAAATTTTTTTCACATCTGTTCGACATCACGATATTGACGATTTTCAGCTTAGAAACTCGATTGCACCTCACTAACAAACTACTATTGAAAACCGACCGATTAGTTTCTAATTGATTTACAGACACTAAGTTTTTAAAGATTATTATTGATTGCAATCTTAGTTTTCTCGTAAACTTCAGCAAAAAAATCATTGATCCTTTTTTCTGAAACTGAGTTGACTTTATTTATAAAATTATTTTAATGTATATTTGGTAGCCTAGAGTTGAAGTACTTTAAAAATTGTTTTTTTTTTGTTCAGTCTCTTTCAGTGTTTTGAATGTTTTTCCGCCGTATCTTTGCTTTGTTTTCAAAAAAGCTAACTTTCAAACGATTCATTTCAAATGAGTTTCGACAAAAAATAAAACGTCAATGCCCGTTAGGAAACCTGAAATTTCAGGAAGCTACAATCAAATAGGGTGGAGAAAAACTAGTTGACTGAGCTCACATTTAATTAAGAAAATGCTGAAAGTAAAATAAATAGTGCAATCAAAAGGTAAGGTCTCTACTCTCGTTTCTAGTCTCATTGGCCAGAGCAAGCTGATACCAACCCGCAAAAATGTCATAATTATAACGTAAAGGAGTATCACTATGATTTAAAAGTTGTATAGGGAGACAAAAAGAGTATAAAAAAAACTGCCGGTGATTTCACCGTAAATTTAATGTAAGTTTTTTGGTAGAGCAGAAGGCAGACTATGTGCAAATGAAAACAAAGATATTCAGTTGCTGTACAAGTAATCTAGAACGTTTCTCGGCGACAGAATTTTAAATTTAATTTTCAAATGATAAGGAAAAAAATCATTTGAAAAACAAAGTGAAAATATAAAAATTTAAAGCGCCGTTCTTTTTCCTAAGTTGCGTGTTTTGAAAAAAGTATTTGAGTTTAATGCGTCTGAAGTAGAAAAAAAACGCAGAAAAAATGTGTTAGTAATTAATAAAATAACCTGAAAAAGTTGCTGACTGCGAGCCCAGTCTCATCTATACCTCCGTGAATTAAATCTGAAAAAGTGAGAAACTCCCATTTTTCTTGATACGCATTTTTTTTGGTTGTTACAAAAGAAACCCTTATCGTAAGCCGTATCACGGCCAATAGAATTTAATATAAGGCCTTATGAATTGTCCAGGATAATAAAATCGAGCAAAAACAAGCTCATCGTACGCCATACTTTCTTCCAGTCATAGACGGATCAAAGGCAGTCTGTACTTTATTGGAATACCTTTGTTAATCTCAGGTAAGAAAACTTCTATGTGCTGTTTTTTTTATACCAGCGATTTAAGAGAAAACCAATTTCAGGAATCACAACAGAACAGCATGATTAAATTACACAATTAAAAGACTCCAAAGTTCAAAAATATGGGAAAATTTGACCATACTACTAATAACTTTCAGCAGAGTTCCTGAAATTGTATTTTTCCTGCAGTTCTCAAGCAAGATTGAGTTTTTCCGCCTCAACCAAATTTCCGTCGCAAAAAAAGGTTGGGTAATTGGAATTTTTTACTACTTAAGTCTAAAGTAGCACAAACCAGCTATGATCCCAAAATTCTCCAGAATAAACGCGTTATTGCTAAAGTTTTACTTGAAAACATTTTTCGCGTTAAACTATCTGAATTTCACATATTCGAAAAGACTGGTTTTTATCATTAAATAATTTTTTAACAAGAAGGCGACCTTTTGCGTACTGTGTCAATACAAACGGGTTTATCTTGTTCCTTCAGAAATTTTTCCATCACCAATTACCCGCATTCAGTAAAAAGAGAAAATAATAGAGTATAATAAATTTTTCTTGTCAGTCTCCATAAATTTCAAAAAGAATTGACTATAATTGATTAAAAATGGATTATAATTTTACTATTTTTCGGAACAATAAAAATCCTTATAATCGTTTATAATCGATTATAATCGATTTTTTTGAAAGTTTTTTTCTGGGGTTCCTCTTTTGAATTATCTTGAGATATACATTTTTGGTGACGGAGCCTAAGAACTTTCTAAAGGCGCCTTTGGCGCCAATATATACTAAATTCGAATGGGAGAGCGCGATTTTTAGATCAACATTTTCCAAAAATTGTCTAAAAACGCCTTTTTTGGCCTGTTTTTCCATAACGTTCCACCCCGGCTTATAGCTTAAGCTTACATTAAGTTTAATATTTACTGTATTTTCATGCAGAATAGCCTAATTTTAATCTATTATGATTGATTTTTTTGTAAAATTATATTTTGATAGAAAAAGGTATTATAAAATTATAAACAATTATAAGTCCCAATTTTAGATGTTTAAACTATTTATAATTCAATATAATGACCACATTTTTGGGGAAGTTTTAATGAACTATAATCAATTATAAATGATTATAATTTTTCCGAAAATCTTTTATAATCTATTATAATAGATTATAATCCTTTCTTCTATCAAAATATTATCTCACAAAAAAATCAATCATAATGGATTAAAATTTAGCTATTCTGCATGAAAATACAGTGAAAATCAAATTTAATGTAAGTTTAAGTTATAAGCCGGGGCGGATCTAGGACTTTCTCGGGGGAGGGGAGCAGATTTTTCACAAAAAATTTTTGCAAATTTTGTCTACCTTTTTTTAGGTTGACCAAATTGATTTTCTGAGCTCTTCTAACTCACAATAAGGAAGACCCCATTTTGATCAAATTTTCTGCGCCGCAGGTAAAATTAAGAAAAAACAGGCCAAAAAAGGCGGTTTTAGACAATTTTTGAAAATTTTTGATCTAAAAATCGCGTTTTTTTGGCGCGCTCACCCCCCTCAAAATTAGTTTATATTGGCACCAAAGGCGCCTTTAGAAAGTTTTTTGGCTCCGTCACCAAAAATGGATATCTCAAGATAATTCTAAGGGAGAAACCCCAGACCCCACCCCCCCCCCCCCCCGCCCCTTAAACCGCCCCTGGCTATAAGTACAAAATTACAGTTTCTTTTAGTTCGGTAACCAACTGAAAAGCACACAAAACAAAACAAAAGTAAAACTAAATGAAGCGATGACAATTGTTGAATAATAATGGATCATAATTCCTTATAATGGATTGTAATTCAAGAAAATTTGAGAAGTTTTTTTTTTAATTATCGATTGTAATCGAGTATAAACGATTATAATGATTTTTATTGTTTCGAAAAATAGTAACTTTATAATCCATTTTTAATCAATTATAATCAATTCAATTTAAAATTTATGGAGACTGACAATAAAAACCGATTATAATCTATTAGTTTCTCTTTTTACTGAGTGCGGGTAGAAGTTGCTTTTTGCCACGCAGTTTTCTGAAAACCTCTTATTTCTGTTTTTCTCCAAAGTATCCAGGAAATCTTGAAAATTTCATAAATGTCAATTAAATTGAGAGACAAGAACAATAGTCATCTTAGTGCTTCTATCGGATTAGAAAATTCAAATTTCAATCTCAATCTTTTGTCTTCGCCATCGTGTCTTTAATCTCCGCCTTATCTGCCCAAAATCCCAGGTGAACAAATACCGCGAACAAAAATTTAGATTATTGGAAATATATTTTTCACAGCCCACGTCTAGAGTAGCACAACCAGATAAAAATAAAAACTGAAGGTGCATTGGGTCGACTGGTTTTAATACAGATCAACTACCACGAAATTTTTTATGCAAAGTAGGTACAAAAACATAGAGTAATGACACTGCTTAAACTGAACGCGTTGTTTCAATTATATTTGGCGGACAATATCAGTTTGAACTAATGAGATTAGAGTTTTTTCATTTCTGTTTTACATTTTGAGATTTTCTAGTTTGGGCGGAATAAGTAAAAAGACCCAAAAAAGTATTTGAGCAATATATTTTTTAAAAAATCACGTTTTTCAAACTTCCAAAAAATAAAATCAACATTAGTTTTTCCTTTTTTTTTCAGTAAACATAATTTTCGTTTATTTTTTAAAAAGACTTAAACACATTAAAACAAAAAATATGTAAATTGAAACTTGAGCTGGTATTGGTATTGGAATTGGTAAGAGCTATATTGGTGATAAGTATAGCTGGAAAACTCAGATACTAAAAGAAGATTCTTCAGCTTTCTTTGCTACCTTTCATACTTGTCTATTAATGTGTCCAAGACGTCCCTGATATTCGGAACCAGCCAGTCAGGTATATTGCGTGTGATCTAACATGTTGGTATGTGTATGTGTATGTGGAAACAAAGTTCTAAATATGTCCTTCAGTCGAAATGAAGACATATTCAGTGCAATGGGCATAATGGTTGGAGAGAACCAGTCAGCCGAAAAGCGGCAAACTACGAACAGATGTTCTTGAAAGTTCATTAAAAATCAAGTAGACCTTCAAGAGACAAAAAAAGATATCACCAATCCGAGAACAATTCTGAAGTTCACTCATCTTTTTTTTGAAAATGTTATTTTTGTTTATATTATTTTTATTCTTCAAGACCGTTAGGCTAAACGCACTGATTATTCCTTCAGGCTCCTTTTCTACATTTCTTTTTCCCAAACAATTACCAAATATCTGTATGCGTGTATGCTCTTTCTACATACATGTCTATGCTGAGATTTATACACTTCCGTTCATTCGACCACCGTGTTTCCCTTCTCATTTTTTCTACAGGTAAAATTTCCTCCTCAAGAAAAAACAGCCAGCCTTCAGGGAATTAAGAAAAACAATAAGCCTTATTTTCGACGTTAGTCTTAAATTGCACACTAATGAAATCGATTTTGTATAATATTAACAAAAATTTTCCCAATTCAGCCGCAAGCATTTTCATTCAAATTTCTCTGAAACTATGCTTGTATAGACAACTCTATTGATAGTTACCAAATTGAATGTAAAAATTTGTTCATGTTCAAATTTTTGAAGTATCTTCTTTGATCAGTGGTTCCAACATTGCTTTGACAAACCGATTGCCTTTTATTAGCTTTTTATTTGCTTGCTTATCACTTGTTTAACGGTGCATACCTCATCGGCAAAAACTTCTACAGATAGTTTTTTTTTGCATCGTTTTTTAATTATCGCGAGGTTGATGCATACGCAACACCTACAAATGTCCTAAAAAATCCGTTGGTTAAATATTCGCTCTATTTTTGGCCTATTTTTTTTATCTACCCTTTGGTAAGAAAATGTGGGATGAAAAAAAGGATACCCAGCTACCCAGCCTCATATCCGTCTCAGGTGTTCTGCACAGAAATTAATTTTTCCTTGTATAGATTCTAAAATACATACAAACTTATGCATATTACTGAAAAACTACAAGAGCCGCTCGCTAAAAGCTAAGCTATAATTACTTCTCTTTTTTCGCAAAGTTTAAATTTTTCAGTCTTAAAAAGTGCCTCTTATCGTTACCGCGCCTCCCCTGAGAGTTTATTAACTAAAAAAATGTAGTTACTTTTTATTCAGCAATTTACTTCAAAAAATTTACATCTTGAGCAATTTAAAATAAATGACTGCAGCCAACTTGGTTCATACATATTGTATTTTGATATCCCTAGGGGTGTAAGTTAGTTAGTTTTCAGTTGTTTAGTAAATTAAATATTACTTCTTAGAACAAGATTCAGGTCATAAAAAACCAAAACCAGGGTTTGTTGGTTCTGTTTTGCATCTATTTTACCCACTTAAGTTACAATTTAATAAATTTTTTTTCTAGTTGATTTACATTACAATGATCCAACGAAACATTCGGCGGCTTTTCGCCTAACTGATTTTTTCTAACGGATTTTAGTTGTCGTCTGAGCCAAGGCTATAATAATTATAAAACTGTTCGTTTCTTCATCTATCAAATAAGTGCTTAGGTATCCGGATCTTAAGCCCTTTTCTTATGAATAAACGATACTTCCGACAACCTTATATCTTAACAACTTTAAGAAACGAGTTCTTTTTTAGATTACTAAAACCGGTGACAAAATTAGAGTATTCAGATCATTCCAGTTCACAGCTAAGTTTGAGATCCTATTTAATCGTGTTATCAACCATCTGGATCTTTGGTTATTGAACGAAGTTTGGTGCCGACTACCAGATAACTCTGGAGTATTCTAGTTAATCTTCAATTTCTTCTCTTCTCTTCTCTCTCACTTTTGTGAAACTTTAAGTGAAGTTGATTTTGAATTTATCACGTCCAGTCATGGTCGCTTAAAAATTTTACGAAGGATCAAAAGGTTCGAATTTCATTTACCCTAAACACTAATTCATTTGTTCGGGTTCAAAGAAATAACTGCCATAAACTGGACACTTGAACATCAAACAAATACTTTTAAGTATCGCAATCATACCAAATAAAACCCTCAAACTGACTATTATCAATTATCAAACGTTTATATTCAAGTTTGAAACGAAGATCTATCGAATGCATCTAAAATCTGCGCCGTAACCTGAAAATTATTGCAGTTTTTGAAAATTATTGCAATTTTTCGATTTTTACTTTCAATTCAGTTTTTAGAGAAACTGTTCTTTTATTATTTAAAATAAGGCATTATATTCGCTCAGCAGATAGCACAGTTTCGTAATTTGCAACTGAGAATGACAATCTAAAACAAACTTTAGTTTCTTTTATGTACTAGATATTTTTTCTTGTTTTGCCATTTTTAATAGTAGTTTTGACATATAACGACGTTGATTTTCAAAATCTGCCGCATTAGTTCGAAATCTGCTGATTTTCAAAATCTGCCGACGAAGAATTTCATCTTTGACAATCACAATTGAAAAAAAAATGTCCTATCCAGCGGTTCAAAATCAACTTTAGGAATCGAAAACCTTCTCACGCTAGTCCTATTTGATCATTACTTTGAAAAGAAGGAACAATCTTTTGCCGACAGACCGAGCCTTTCTATTCGCCCTAACAGCAAAGAACTGGAGTGAATGTTCGGGATGATTTCGGAAGTGTTAGCTCGTATAGCCAGTGTGAGTGTGGGCGGTGATGGAGGGGGAGGGGGTTTGGACAGCGACTGTGCGGACAGACTCAACTTCAAATACTCATGTCTTCTTCTCATGAGTCTAGGAGCACTTTTCACCACCAGACAGTTCGTAGGTCAGAATATTGCAAATAAACTGAAATTATAGATTCAATGAACCAATGTAACTTTTTCTCGCTGAAAGTATTTGGCTCTCTGAAGAATTTGCTTTTTAAACGGGGGTGTCCAGGGGCGGATCTAGGATTTTCTCTAGGGGGGGGGGGGGGGGGGGGTTTGGGGATTTTTCAAAAAAATTTCGAAAACTTTAACGACCTTTTTTTTAGGTTGACCAAATTGATTTTCGGAGCTCTCCTAAAGCACTAAAAAGACGTTGTTTTTGCCAAATTTTTGAAAAAACAGGTCAAAAAGCCGTTTTTGGGCACTTTTTGGATAATTTTGACATAAAAATCGCGTTTTTTTTGCCACGCGCCCCCCCCCCCCCCCCCCCCCTCAAAGTTAGTATATATTGGCGCCAAAGGCGCCTTAAAAAAAATTTTGGGTCCGTCACCAAAAATGGATTTCTTAAAAAGTACCAAAGGGGGGACCCTTTGGGTCGGCAGGGGGTCGAATACCTGAGGGGGGGGCATCCGCCCCCCTCGCCCCTCCACCCCTATATCCGCCCCTGGAGGTGTCTGATTTCTGTTTACCAACTTTTTCTTAAAAGTTGATATCTTCTCATTTGAAATCTCAAAGCAAGTGAATCAACTTCCGAGAAAAACCAGCGGACTGGGATAATCAGAATAACTAACATTGATAACCGGAGCAAAAAAAGTAGGTTCAAGTTACAGTCGAATTACCAAAAAAAAGTAAACGAAATCTGACGTTTCAGTTTGCAGCGAAGGACTTATATTCTTCTCATTCTGTGGCATTTTAATTTATAACCAACTGCGTATTTTCTTTATTTGAACGGGATTTTGTAGCAACAGTGTCTCACTATACCTTTGCAACGCCATGTCTGACAAATTTCACTCTATTTGAACAAACTGTTTATTGTTTCTGCAGCATCAAAACTTGCTTGCTTAGCTTCAGTTGAATGTTTTTGATACTTTTTCCGTGGCATTTCAGGCTTTTCATTTTTTGTTTGAGGTGTTTGGAGTTGCTTCAAATCAATAAAAACTTTGATCAAACAGAGTCAAGTTGTTTCAATTAGTTTTTTTTCTGCAGCGTGTTCAAATCAAAATAAACTTTGTGCAATTGAGCGTTTTTCTTGTCTGATATGGCGTTGAAAAAGTATAGTTTGCATAATTCCTAGATATGTACATTAGTTCAACCTATAAGATTTTTAACCAGGCTGTCATTTCCAACTGAATTAGAATAAGAACCAGATTTTTTCAAAGTTGATGTAAAAATATGGATTTTCAACAATTTCTAAATTTTTCCTTGACAATCCATTTCCGCTGTTTTCTGGATATTGTCCAGACAACGCATAGCATTTTAAATTTTTCAAGCGTTTCATCACACTTGCTGCAGCAAATGACTTCAAAAACCGCATACGAGGAATGCAAAATTATTGTTCCGACTTTCGATACGAAAGTAACGGAATATTTGTGCTCGGGGTGGGTTTTTTTTTCTTCAGACAAATTTCGACTTTTTAACTAGCCATTTTTGACAGAATTTTTTTATATCATTCGAAAGCCATTGTTGTCCTGAACTTAAATTTGAAAAGATATTTCACCTGTGATCATTTTTTGTGAAGTTATGAGGGTTTAAAGATTGCCATTTTGGCCATTTTGATCAATTTGAGACAATTAACGCGCGATATAATTCGCGCTATTAACGCGTAAGCGGAGATTTAATCCGTCTTATAAATCGTTCCAAATTGGTTGAAAGAAGCTCATTTGCCATAATTGATTTCTTACAAGGAACGAAATCTATCTTTTTGTACTTTATATGGCGTGTGGGGGGATGATTTTCACAAAAAAATTCAAATTTTGGAAAAAAAATTTTATTTTATTTTATTTCATTAAATTTTTTATGATCCATAAACCTTAAAAGGCAGTCGGAACCTTCAGGGCTTCGCCCTGATACGAGCAGTCTTGTTCTTTTCGAATTCAACATGAATGCATCCGTATAAATAAACGATTTTTCTCAAGAGTTACGAGACGGAAGAGAAGCATGTTCACAACAAACGAACTCTCACAAGAGTGGCACCAATTTCAAGACTTTTTGGCTGTGCATCGGCTCACTCCGATAGCCCTCGGCAGGGCATATCAAAATACTATTGCAATATTATTGCTTTCCGAATTTTTTGGCAATAAAATATTGTTTTTTTTTCACATTTGCAATATAATATTGCAATATATTGCAATACTTCCGAGAAGAAAAATGCAAAAAACAATGAATTGGAAACAACTATTAAAAATTATTTTTGTCAACACATTCTTTCACGGTATTAATGTCCCAAAATTTATGATTAATGAAGAAAAAGTTGCATTTCCAGATTAGCAGGCAGCATACTTTTCCGATAATCATTATAAATGACGGGAAAAATACGTGCATTTAACCTAAATGCTGCTTTATTAATTAATTTGAGTATTGCAAAATATTGCAATATTTTGCAGGATGAATATCAATATATTGCTTATGATAATTGTTCAAAATAGAATATTGCAATATACATATTGCAATATATTGCAATAGCAATAGTATTTTGAAATGCCCTGGCCCTCGGAAAGTTGCCGAACTGTTAAAATGCATTGAAATGTTTTGCCACAGAGTCACACGGTTTGAAGTTTTAGCTGCCACAGCATCAATTCACAAGCTCATGATAAAAAGTCAAGAAAATGGCGGGAAATATTTCCATCATATGTTAAAATGATTGTTTAGTGATAAATTGATGAAATTCTATATCTTACCTCCCAGTTTGTAAATAACTTTGTATAAGCGTCGATACAGTTGAAAAGGGCAATCATTTCAAAACTCTTTCAGGCTATAAAATACTCCGTAGTTTCTTTAATCTTGCGAAATTTTTTTAACAAGCCATAGCCAAAAAATTTGGCCTGTACAATTCTTAAAAAACCGCTGCTGTTTTTCGAGTTTTGCTTGCAAAGCCTGTTTTAAGTTTTCAAAAAGCTTATTTAATACGCTATTCACTTATGCAAAGCGGTTTAAAAAGTATCAATAAAATTGATTTCCTTCAGTTTGATGGAATTAATCTTATCACTGAGGGACCGAATGATGGAAGCCTTTCAACCAGGTAGAGTTGCCAAAAATGGCAACAAAGCTCGTATTCGCTAAATGATTTAAGCTGATTTTTTATTTGGCCAATAATGAGTTTAAGGCCCTGAACTTGCTTGTTTTCTTTTAAACTTTCATATTTTCTTCAGATATAGTTGCTCAATTTGGGCTCACCATCATAATTCATGAGGGATTGCCCAATCTGAGGGAAGAAAAGCAGTCTGTTATTTCACTCTGATCACAATTTATTGTTATCACAACAATGTCACTTTGTTTTTAAAATGTTGATAGTGTAATAATCATAAATGAGCCACTCTATGGACTTTCAGAGGCGGCATACTGACGATTTACTAACTATGGACTTCCAAATTGGTTTTGAATTATTGGCTACAGTATGCTAATTTATAATTAGTAAGGAGATTCATGTAATTATTTTCAGGCGAGTCTATAGTGTGTTGGTCGCCGAACAACTTCAACCAGCAGTGGATCAAGTACAGCGATGCTTTCTGCTGGGTGTCGAACACTTTCAACGCCCCCCTCGACACCCACCACGCCCCCCACCTGGACAAGTATGAGGCAGTGGAGCTGCACTACTACCAATGGGTGCCACTCATCTTATTCCTCATGGTCAGTATATGCTAGATCGAACTCAATTTCTCAGATGGAATTTTCTTTTTTGGAACCTGATCTAAACTATATTTTATGATTGGATAAATTAAATGTTTTACCAATGTAAAGTATTTAATATTAACCAATCATGATCCATCTAACTAACAACCCACTTATTTGTAAGTGCTGAAGTTACTTGTAATTTCAGCACCAGAGAGATTTGAATTTAACTTAGAAATTAGTTGGACTCTCCCGAGCACTTCAGCAGCCGCAATAAACCAGTATACCCTAGATCTATTGAGCCTAGCAGAGACTAGTTAAACAACCTGAGACTAGATAGTATAAGAGTAAGATTAGGATCGGTATTAGACTAAGAAGTTGCACGAATCTATCCGGCCGAAAATAAGATAGCGTGACGAGCAGACGGTGTACCCTATCCGAAATTACTCTATGAGTTATACCCATCGGTCCTAACTCATCTGGTGCGACCATAAGTCTCGAACAAGACCTTACTAGATTAGAATTAACCAAAATTAGATTAGAAATTAGACAAAAACATTTACAAAATGTTATACGACAATAATTTAATTGAAATGTCTCTACGACTCAATAGATCAGAGCCAATATTCCGAACCATAATAGAACTACCCGGAATTGGAAGAAGACCTCGAACCAAAGACGACATACGACAAAGTAGAAACTTGCCGTATAGTTATATGATAGTTCGGCAAAAGCCAGAACAAACTTTTATATTTCGAATACTACTTGCAATGAATTTAGGTTTCCATTTGCAAACATAAAACCTTGAAGTTACTCTTCAAAATCATTTAAGGCGCTAAACAAAATTAATATTATACAATAACGATTGATAAAAAGATCTAAGATCGTTTCCCTAAAACTCTGCAGTATTATACAAAACATGTTTGAAAAATATTTATTGGAAAATAAAAATAAAAATTAGCAGCATGACAATAAATGGTTAGTAATCATAAATCATCTTGTTGTTCCAGCTTCATCACCTAAAACATAACAGCAATCATCAACTCACTAATATCATAAAACACTAAATCTTTCCTTTACACAAATTTAAAACTTTATTAAAACTTAAAATCACTTAATTTTAAAACCAGATCATCAAGGCTTATCCTTGGATCTTAAATCATTTTCTACTTAATTAAATTTCAAATTTGATCATCAAGGCTTATCCTTGGATCAAACAGAACAACTTTGTTCTCCCCCACCCACTTAATTAGTGTCTAACGACCTCAAACGTCGATTCACTACCCAACCCTTTCTAAAGACCTAAGACTAATAGAAATTTTTAAACAAAACTAATCATTCAAATTAGGATAAACAGTGAAGAACTTCGGTTATTCATCCTTCACTTGACCCCCCCTCTTACCAAACCCAGGATAAATTTTAGACTTAGTAAGTTTAAAATAGTATCTAACGAACTACTCGCGTTCTAATTATACCTGAACCTTGTGGATCGATTTACTATTCTCCAACCCTTGAACACAATCACTACCCCTAAGTAAGATTAAGTAAGTTAACACCTTAACTTATACTAGCCACGAGAAAGTAAAAAATCATTCTTCGGAATCGATATACTTTTCTCTCCAACCCTGAACAAATAGACCCAGGTTAAGCTAACCAAAAAATCGTAAGAACTAACAGTTTAAGAAAATAGAAATCATTTAACAACCTTTGCATCCGTCATTCTAAACCTTATGTCATTTAAAAACCTAGGAAATAAACAAACAATCATTTTACACAATTGTGAAATAGATAACAAAAAATACGACCTTGTAATCACACCTCATACACAAACAGTTGGATACATTCGCACAAAACGACAAACACTAAAGAGGAAAATAATAACTAAACAAAGACAAATAACACGAAAAAGATTTTCAAAAAATCGAAACGCATTTTCAGAATCAGAAACCAACAGTTTAGACGAACTTTACAAACTAAAAGAATCAATAGATAAAAATTACCCACAACACGATCAATTATATTTTTCTGACTCAGAAACAACTTCAAATTCATCACAAAGAGGAAAAAGAAGAATAAAAAAGCAGTACAAACACAAACCAGTACATCTATACAATTGGAATCAACCAATTCGACACATTAATAATTACATATTAACAGTCATCGAACGGAAAAATGAGTTCAACACACACCCCAGGTGACGAAACTCCAGATGACGATGAAATCTTTCCTTTTATAGTAGATGCAGATACTGATAGAGGACAACACATATTTTGTCAAAATTTACTCGTAAATTTATTTGAACCCGGAATCAGTCCATGTAAAACAGAGTTCCCCGATGTAAAAATCAAAAGACAAATCATAGATCACTATCTAAAAGATATATGCAACATAACACAACAGTATGGAATCTACTCCATAGAATTCACTTCCCCAAACCATAATAATAGAACATATACTATACAAACAGACGATCTTGATTTAGAATTTTCAAAAGTTTTTTCAGAATATATAAAAAGCATCCAATACCATAACTCACAAAGAGCAAACTCCATTTTCACTAATGAAGTTTTCGCAATAATATATAGTTATATTTCGATATTAGAAAACGAAATCCCATTAACAAATGTCTCACCGACAGAAACATCTAAACATTTGAAAGTACGACATGAAATTACACTACTCTCTAGTTATTTAAACATCATTAAAGAAAATTTCACGAAAGATGACGTTTCACAACATACCAAACACGATTTACAAAAAATTTTAGCATGGTTCATAATAGATTATTTCACACACAATATTGATTTAATTGCACAAGCAAGAAAAAATTTTAGACCCCAAAATTCGAACGATGATACCGCTATCACAGAACAATCAGATTATGTTTGGGACCCCGAATGGTCTCATCCAGCATTTATAAGCTTCCCACAATCAATCTCAAGTCAAGCAATAAGTACGATATCTTACATAAGAGATTATGTAAGAGTAATACCATTAACAATTGATGCAACACCATTAAACTATAATACATTTTTACCCGATACACAAAATAATAGTTTAAACTCTACAGTCATACACAACGAAAACCTCAATGGAACTAGGAATCTTACTCAACAAGATATCCAGACACCATCACACTTCATAAATGAAGAAATTGTACACACAACAACTACACAACAAAGTATTTCACCAATACGCCCAAATTTAACAACACCAAGGAATACAAATCCTTCACAAACACAGGTAACCTTACAATCAACCGTTAAACCTTCGGTTGCTCCTAAATATTCACATATGGATTACCAAACATACAGACCCATGACAATACCATCAAAATCACGCAAAACATTCACTAAAAACAACTTTGCAGACCATAATTATAATTATACACATCCATCAAAAACAAATTATCAACCACAAAGGAATTTTAATCAATATACAAAACCTCGAAACTGGGATAACCCAACGGCCCAATATAATTCCAAAAATTTTCAACCAAATCCTCCACAGGATCGCAGTGAAAATTACCCATTTTTTCAACAGAATAAAAATAAAAAACAAACATCTTATCAAATGGATTATTTATCCTCAGATGACGATTTCTTACAACCAGATATATTTGCACCAAATACTCAAGAATATCGTAGACAAGGAATACAGAAAACACGTACAAATTATAGGAATTTTTCTCCACAACCGATAGATACACAACATCAACAACCAATTCAACAACAAAATCCAATTACTACACAATCTTTTCAACCAATTCAACAACAAAATCCAATGACTGCACACTCGTATCAACCATCACAAATGCAAAATGAAATACCACTCCCATATTATCTTCAACAACATGAAATAACAAGAAACCAACTTTCAAATTTTTCTCAAATGCCAAATGCAGCAGAATCATTACAAATGACAATGAATCCATACCTAATGGGTGGATCATCAATAACATCAAACAAACCTTTAATGGTTTTCACATGAACAGACCCTGAATACTCTGTAGAAGATTACTTAAATGCAGTAACAGCAAATTTGATTTTAAATATAGGACCTGAACCAATTAATACGCCACTACATCAAAACTGGATACATCGACGCACAGCGTTGATACAAACAACCTTAGATGGCGCAGCCCAAAAATGGTTTTCAGTACTACCTCTAGAAATAAAATCAAACTGGAAAAGATTTACACAAGAATTTTCAAAAATGTTTGACTCTGAAAGAAACAAACAACAACAAAGAGTTTTATGTAATGAAATTCGCAGATTACCAAACGAAACCATCAAGCAAATAGCAGTACGAATCGAAACACTAGTTCGAAAAGCATATTCACTAAATACACATGACTATAAAAACACAAAGATGACAGAAATCTTAATGATGACCTTAACACCACAATTAAGGAAAATAGCAATAAAAAAGAGAGCATCCCATCCTTCTTCAATTCGAGAACCCGATTTAGATTTTCGAAAACTAGTAGACAAACTAGAACAAGCAGAAATCACGATGAAACTAGAAGAAACGGAAAATCTGAAATTACAATACGTTAATAGAATTGAAACGACTCCCACTAATATTAATAATATACAGGAATCAGAGACAGACCTCGTTGAAAAAATCACTGAAATACTCAATATTTGAGAAAAGAACCCAAACTTTAAAGGCAAACCATCTTTCAAAAAATGGTGTAATTATTGCCGACGATACGGACATAGTATTTCCGAATGTAGACAAAAACAGCAAGACAATCAAAATAAACCTCAAAAATATAAAGAACCAAATAAATCATTCTATCAATACATGAAAAAAGATCAAAATCTACCGAACAAAACAGTTCACAGCAACAACAGTTCAGGAAAACCACTCCCGAACAATACAAATTATACAAGAAATCAATCCCCATATAACTCAAGTTATAGAGGAAGATCACCAGAACGAAGAAACACGAATAATTCATCACAAAATCACTACAATAGACCAAATAGTCGAAATAACTACTCCAGATCAAA